AAAATTGAAAATATTTATGGATTTTGAAAATTCACAATCTTCAAAAAAAGTTAATGAATTTGTAAAAAGAAGTTAGCTTGTTTAACATGGCTACCTGTGTTGCCTGAGTAGTTTTCAAAGGCAAGGCAGCAACAAGCATACATATGCAACAAACCATCGAAACGCCCTAGGCTGCCGCAGCCTACACAAAAAGCTAGGGTTCCTCTGCCTTCCGCCGGCGCCGGTCCGCCCCGTCTCCCGTGGCCTTAGGCCCATGGGGGCGGAGTGGATCCCGGCCCTTGCCGGTGGGAGGGCTCCGTTTTTAGAACTTTTTCGAGGTTTGTTAGGGTTTGTGTCATATTCAGGAAGGCGAGACGGGGCGGTTCTTTGAAGATGGAATAAAGGTCTTCCCGCCTAGCCCCCTTCCGGTGATGCGACTAGCATCCTCGATGGGCGTGTGGAGGTGTGTCTCCGGTGGACCTAGGGATGAAAATGGAGTTGAAACTTTCCGTTTTTCCGGAGAAAAAATGAAAACGAAGAGGAAATATGAAAACAGAAACGGAAATTTGCAAAACGAAAGTGGAAATGGAATTCTTTATGTGAAAACGGAAACAAAAATGGAACCGTGTTTTCCGGTGGAACATGCATGGAAACAGAACTTTTAGTTTCCGTGAATATGGAATTTCTGTTTTTACTATAGACCTATAGCTGCTTTGTAGCCCAACCACCAAAGAGAACACTATGACACAATTAGTAGAATGGATCTGAGGCCCAACTTCTACTACCACACATGTACTCAACTTGACCTTATATGCAATTGTCCGGTACTAATAGAACACTACGCTAAGTTGCTAACATAATGATATTATTTTGTAGCCATGTTAACAACTCATTATTATTATTTTGTGTGTATTTCTCTATAATTCAAGGGATTTTTAAGTTCCGATCAATGCCTATTTCTGTTTCCGTATCCGCTTTGTATTCGCTCCGTGTCCGTTTTCGGTAGTATCTATTTTCGTATTTATTTCCGGGGTTTTTGTATTCGTTTCCACTTCTGCAAAAAAAGTGAAAACAAATATAATAGCGCCCAGTTCCGTCCGTTTCCGCTCTGTTTTCATCCCTAGGTGGACCCGTCTTTGGTGGGTCTGTTCGTCGTTCGTCTTTGTTCGCGTGTCTTCAAGTTGAATCCTTCTTATCAACACTCTTCATCGGCGGAGGTTGCTGTTATGGTGCATTGGTTCTATGGAGCCTTAGCACGATGACTTTCCGACTGTCTACTACAACAAGGTTTGTCCGACTCCGGTGAGGGAGGGGCGATGACAGCGGCGCGCCTTCGGCTCGCTTCAGTGCATGTAGTCGCCGCTAGGTGGTCTACGGATCTGGATGTAATTTTTATAATTTTTAGTGTTCATTTTACTACCATGTTTGAAGATTAATAGGTCGATAGTTTATCCCGCAAAAAAAAGGCAAGGCAGCAACAAGTAATTAATCAACTAATCCCTATTGTTGTAGCTATCGTTTGATGCGAACCAACATGTGGTTGGATGGTTAGAGGGACTGTGGTATTCCAAGCCCACCAGGGTTCAAGTCTGGGTGCTCGCATTTATTCCTGGATTTATTTCAGAATTTCCGGCAATGCACATTCAGTGGGAGCAGACGTTCCCATCGATGACGAGGTGCCTACGGCAACTTCGTAAATTTCAAGATGATATGGCAGCTCAGTCTTTCGAAGGTGCTCATAGGGGTAGTGTGCGCATGTGTGTGTTCATAGGGGTGAGTGTATGCGCATGTATATGAGCGCTTGCGTCTGTACTGTGTTAAAAAAAATTGTCGTTTGATTTTGAGCACCTTGGCCAAAGATGACGTACCAAGTCAACCCTTTCTAGGCCCAATGAGAGCTGGCCAGCTGACAACTCTAGATGGCAAATGGCCAAATAGGCCCGGTGTTGCGTGTGTGTGTCTGAAACATTTCCCATACCGAAAATTAAGACTCACAATATTGGAAATTCAGACTCACAAGGCTAGCTGTTGTGTGTAACTTTATATCGATCCTAGGAGTGGTGTGGTTTTTGTGCGCCCATGATATAAAACTTGACAAAACATTTCAAAAATATCTGAAATTTTGTGGATGTGAATATGACCAAATGTTTTAGGTGCTTGCAAAATCTGGTGGTGAAATGCCATATGAGGAGCTCTGTATAAAAAAACAAAGTTTGTGCAGAGCATCATTAATTTGTATTTTGTTTTGTATGGAAATCATTTGTTGTTTTCTGGTGACCAAACTTTGCAAGCTCCTACATTTGCTCATAATCATATCCACGAAGTTTCAGAAATTTTTGATTTATTTTCTACTTTTACAAAATTTACTATTCACTTTGTGGGTGCACCGAAGTTGGGTGCAGCCACTATTTTCCCTAAATTCTGTGGCAGGTATGAATTTCAGATGGTGTCGAGCTCTAGATTAATATGGTAAAATCCATGGCGTGCAGGTCGGGCAGCGAAGAACTGAAGAAGGCGATGATGGCATGGCTGGATCCAGAAGATGCTTGTTCCTTCTTCGATCAGTGCAGCCAAGTTTTAGTTTGCTTTTCTGTCACTTTCTTTATTTTTGACGGAAACAAGTGAACTAACAGGTTGCAAGTTCCATAACTAGTAGCAACTGAAACTGAGCAAAACCTGTAATGCTGCAAGATAATACGAAGATAAGGAACAAATTAAGCTATACAACTGAGCAAAACATATACTGCTGCAAAACCTATACAACTGAAACTGAGCAAAACCTACATGCTAAACTAAAAGATTGCGAGATAATACGAAGATGCTCGTGCCGGTAAAACCATACTGCTGCACATGCATGATGTTTCTCGTTGAGGAACAAAGCAAATACGGGAGCATTGTTGAGGAAATTGTTAACTGGTAGCTGCTCGGTTGGCTGGTGAGTAGGGGGATTAATCGGTTAATTGGCAAGTTAATCGGCCATTTAATCAATTAATCGGATGATTTATCGGTTTATAGGCTACTCGGTAACCCGACGAGTAAGGATTAATCAGCAAGTTAACTGGTTAATCGGATGAATTCTTGAACAGGGTACGGGAGTACTTGGCTAGCTAGTTTGTAACTATTCGACACTGATCCTGCACCTGCATGCATGTAAGAGATCATCCGTACGATGGCGTTTTACACTTTTACTACTCCAAATTAAGCTGCATGTAGCACATCATGAGGTACGTTAGGTAGTGAGTAAATGGGCATCCTGGAATCAAATTGCCACGGCCCAGTGTAGCTTACTCTTCCGTCTCAATCGATCAACAGCATGTGCCTGCGCCCAACGGAATCAGATACTTTGAGCAGGGTAGTGGAGGCTACCCTATCCCTATGCGAGATAGATATATAGATAAGCAAAGTGTAGATAGATACATAAATAGATAGTGGCCTTACGCATACCATCAGTGCATAGCATATACTTTCTTCTTTTCGTGTTAAATGATTGCCATATCTCATGTTCTCCTTGTCGGGGGAGCATCAACTTCAAGGGAAAAACAAGCACTAAGTATGTAGTTTCTGTCCAAATACCACCAGCAAAGCATAAATAAGATAGATCGTCTACAAAGCCAGTTCCAACAGCTAGCTAGTTGCTCTAAACATCTGCAAGGGCCAAGGACGATGAAGATCCATCTCTCGTCTCTCCAATTCATTCAAGGTAGAACGTACTTGCTTAATTTCATCTCCACCAGAATAATCTAGCTTTGCTGTTTCTTTGTAGCTAGTTTCCCCCTATTAAAGAGATGACCTCTTTACTTTTAATTTTGTGTGCATGTATAACGCGAGCTTGTTTGCAAGCCACCTTTTTCCTTTGAAGTAGTATCTTTCTAGTCCCTAGAGAGCTCCATGGTGACATGCATGCATGAACCAATTTTCAGCATGATTATTTTCTCTTATTAAATGAAATATATTACTATCAAGAAAGGTACTAATTACACCCAGCCTCTGTACCATCACGATATCAAGACCTAGTCAAAACGTTAAGAATGCACAAAACCAAATTATTACAAAAGGTAAAAAGGAAAAGTGTGATCAAGAGTGCTATAGTAGATACTTCTGTTTGGCTAAATTCTCGCAAGTTTTGTTTTTCCTTATTTGCACTAATTAATGTTGTAAGGAAAGTTAGAATTCGGAGAGAGCTCCGTTAATGAGCAGCGTTTTCCTATTTATCTCTTCTGTTACAGATTCCAACTTTTGGTGATATCAGGAACTATATATTTTGCTAAAGTTCTTGAAATTATTATATATTATTGGTCTCTTAGTCAGACACACTCATGTTTTGCCCTGCAAAAATCAATTTTGTTCTTATTGCCATGAATCACTTTAGTGGATTATCAATATTCTTTTTGCTGCTATTGCAGGTTGTCAATTGCTGGCGTGTCTTCTTCACTAAACAATAGTACTGTCTTCCAATTTTCCTGACATTTTCTCGCTCCAAATCCCATCAAGAATATCACAATGTTCTTACCCTATGCAACTGCTCCTAGAGACATCTTGTAGCAAACAGAAGTCTCCAATTTTTTGATCTTGGTACACCAACAATAACAATGGCATTCCCAACCCTACCAATCACACTCACATGCCTTACACTGTTGGTATTCCTGTGGATTGCCATGGCAGCTGATAACGACTCCATGGACTCTGGCCTCGTCCTCCTAAATTGTGGAGAATCAAACCAAGACAATGACAGTAGTGGCCGTATGTGGGACGGGGACACCGGCTCCAAATTCATGACACCGGTTAAAGGGGTTGCAGCCAATGCTTCATACCAAGACCCTTCACTCCCCTCCATGGTGCCTTATATGACTGCACGCATCTTCACTTCAAGTTACACATATTCCACATGCATCAACATAGCGTGGTCTGATGATTCCCCATGATATCCCACACCTGACATCTTCACAATAGTTGACACAATATTTGTCCACCATGATTATGTAGCTCCGTTTACATTTGCCGCTAACACAGGCTTCCAGACTATGTACCGGTTCAATGTCGGGGGCCAAGCCATTTCCCCCAAGGATGACTCGGGATTTTACCGCTTATGGGCTGATGATTCCCCATACATATTTGGCGCTAGCTCTGGGGTGACATACTCCAAAGATAATAATGTGACTATCAGGTATACACCCGTAGTGCCAAAGTACATAGCGCCACTTGACGTCTATGGTACAGCTCGGTCGATGGGACCAACTGCACAGGTCAACCTGAATTACAACCTTACATGGATTTTACCTGTTGATGCGGGGTTCATTTACCTCCTAAGGTTCCATTTCTGTGAGATCCAGTCTCCTATTACCAAGGAGAATCAGAGGACATTCTACATCTACATCAACAACCAGACAGCACAATGGGCCACGGATGTAATCTCTTTGAGTGGAGGACTCGGTCGAACATCATATAGAGACTATGTTATCATGGCTAGTGGTTCCGGTCAGGTGGACATGTGGATTGCACTTCACCCTGATATTACAACAAAGCCACGCTATGTTGATGCAAGGGGTACGCCAATAGGGTGACCCTACCACACGCATCTTCTAAGGCGCCCCTCCGTGACCAAGCTCCAGACCAGATGCGAGCCCTGGCAGGGGAGGTGGCTCTCTAAGGCGGCCCGGACTATCCTTGTCAACTCATCCCTATCCAGCCTCCTCTTGTTTCTTATGAGCTTCTACAGCCTCCATGAATCTCTCCATAAGGAGATCGCCAAGATTCAGTCCCGATTCTACTGGGCTGGCGAACCGGGCAAGCAAAAGTATCACATGGTCAGCTGGCCGGACATCTGCAAGCCTAGGGAGCAGGGTGGATTAGGCATCATGTGCTCTAAATGGATGAACATCGCCCTTCTCTCCCGTTGGCTTTGGCGTATCGCGCAGGGTCAGGATGGCCTCTGGCTGGACATTATCCGGAATAAATACCTGCGTGGTCAACCCCTTGCCTTCTGCCAGAAATCGGGCGGCTCTCAGTTTTGGCAGTCTCTCGTCCAACTCCTACCGGTGCTCCGCATTGGTACCTCTATCTCGGTGGGGTCCGGTCTCTCAACGCTTTTTTGGTTCGACCGTTGGGCCGGAGACTCGCCCTTCGCGGCCCGCTTCCCCACCCTCTTCCCTATCTCTGTCGACCCTATGATTTCTGTTGATAGGGCCCTTAGTGACTTAGGGCGCCTTGCTTTCCGCCGTCCTTTTGGGCCGGCGGAATCCGCCGCATGGCGTGAGTTACTTGACTGCGTTGCTCTTCACGAGCCGTTGGTGGATGGCGACCAGGACCTTATGCGCTGGTGGCTGGAGCCGTCTGGCCAGTTCTCCACCAAATCGCTTTACTTGGCCATTGCTCCCTCATCCGCCCCCTCCCCCTGTCGTTGGTGTGGTCCGTCCGCGTCCCACTGAAGATTCGCATCTTCATGTGGCAGTGGATCCGTGGACGGGTCCCGTCCGGCGTGGAGGTCCGCAAGCGAAATGGCCCGGGCACTGGTATATGCCCCCTCTGCGATGTTCCTGAAGACTCCAATCACATTTTCTTCGCTTGCGTTTCCGCCCGGTTCCTTTGGAGCTGCTTTCGCGAGATTGTCGGTGGGAATTGGTGCCACACCAATTTCCCGGACCTTTTTGCTGAACTCCAAGTGTCCCCTACGACCTCTCGCCACATTAGGTGGCTGGAGGTTGGGGTCCTTGCCTGGACGCTGTGGACCGTTCGCTATAAGCTTGTGATCCAACGTTCTCCCCTCCGTCGCGCTACTGATGCTCTCTACAAATTCTCGGGTTTCTTGCAACTTTGGCGGCCGCTTAGCCGCCCCCCGGATCGGGACGCCATCTCCGCCTTCATCACCGATCTTCGCTCGATGGCCGTCCGCCTGTCGCCGCCACCCCCGCCGCCGCCGCCGGAGCCAGACTAGATCACCTGCGCTGGGCAGGCAGGCTTTGCTGTGTTGTGTTTTTTCTCTTTCTTCTGGGCTTGTTGAGCTGTGCCCTCAGCAGAACCTCTGTACTTTGTTTGTGGATCTTGGGTGGTGTGTGTGTGTGGACCTGCTTTGGTTGTATGTCTTGTGGCGGTTTGCTTTATTTATAAAGCGGGGCGAAAGCCTTTTTCGGTATGTTGATGCAATACTTAATGGTCTTGAGGTCTTCAAGCTACAGGGTCATGAACCGAATAATCTTGCTGGGCTCAATCCTCCACTTCAACAAAAGCCTGATGTGGAACCTAAGAGGGTACCTGGCGGTGCAAGGAAGTCCAAAAGTGGCCTACTAGTAGCCATCGGTGGCGGTTTTGCTTTGATGTTGATTGCCCTTTTCAGCATGTGTGTTATTTTCCGACGAAAAAAAGTAGGGAAGAGTTGTTGCAAGACCAACAACGGACATCTAAATCATCCCGCATGTGATCTCGTGCGTCAGTTCTCATTTTCACAAATTCAAATTGCCACCAACGACTTTGATGAGGAACTAATCATTGGCAGAGGTGGATTTAGTAATGTCTACAGCGGCGAGATAGATGGAGGGACAAAGGTGGCGATCAAGCGACTCAACCAGGAATCCCAACAAGGCAGTCATGAGTTCCAGGCTGAAATTGAGATGCTGTGCAATTTCCACCATGGCCACCTTGTGTCTTTGATTGGCTACTGCCAGGACAGTAATGAGATGATTTTGGTGTATGAATACATGGTTCATGGAACATTGCGTGAGCATCTGTACAGTACCCGAAACTCACCACTATCATGGCGGCGGCGCCTTGAGATCTGCATCGGTGCAGCTCGAGGACTGCATTACCTCCACACTGGCACAGAGAAAGGAATCATCCACCGTGATGTTAAGACATCAAACATCCTACTGGATGAGAGGTTCATGGCGAAGGTCTCTGACTTTGGTCTATCTAAGGCTTTTCCAGCCATTGACAATACCCACGTGAGCACCGCTGTGAAAGGCACCTTTGGATATTTTGATCCGGAGTACTTCCTATTGCGGCGTCTCACCAAAAAATCAGATGTGTACTCCTTCGGAGTCATGTTGTTTGAGATCATGTGTGCGCGCCCTGTGATAAACACTGAGCTCGCAGACGAGCAAGTGAGCTTACGTGACTGGGCGCTATATTGCCAAGAGAGGGGCGTACTTGAGGAGATTGTTGACCCTTGTGTAAAGGACGAGATCACCCCCGAGTGCTTCCGTATATTTGCAGAGCTAGCAGAAAAATGTGTTGCTGATCGTAGCATAGATCGGCCAACAATGGATGATGTACTTCAGAACCTTGAGGTCGCACTCAGGTTGCAGGACAATAACAACTGTGTCGGGAGGCCATCGTCTCTTCAGATAATTGGAATGCATTCAGACAAACCATCAACCCACTCAATAATTAGTGTCGCTGCACAGGGAGAGATATTTTCAGATATTATGCATCTGGAAGGCCGATGACAGCAAACTGCAGGTCAGAATTTCTATTGAAAGGTTCATTGTTACCTAACTGATATTCTATTATATGGTTAACTTGTATGTTCAATATACTATATATATGTTCCGGTGACCTTGGTATAAAACTCTCAGATAATTTATTTTTCAGATATTAAAAGGAGATGCCACATATTTTACACAACTGAACCCTACAGGATGGAGTCTGGAGACAAACATTCAATGCAAAGGTGCTAGAGCCTGAATATACTAGTTTATAGCTATCTGTTGTCTTAATCACTTCTTGATGATTCAATTCCATCTTACTGGTTCACTGGTATGCTAGAGCCTGAATATGTACTTCCCACTGTTTTGGTTCACTTGCCTGGAGTGGTCAGGTTTAGCTCGCTATTCCGGTCAAGTGAAGGACTAGCAAATTAAGTTGGCAAGAAGACCCAAGGATCTGTACTTTAATTTCCTGCTGATAGCGCAAGAAGACCCAGGGTGGTTTATTTCTACAATAGGATGTTACTCCCTTCGTCCCAAAATAATTGTCTGAACTTTATACTAACTCTAGTACAAAGTTATACTAAGGTTGAGACACTTATTTTGGAACGGAGGGAGTATTAGCTTGGCTTGTGAACAATGCAGAATATATATGAGGCCTGCAGGGATTAAATATGCCAACTGTTTTTATGCTCAGACTATGTGCTCAGCGAGACAAAAATCCTATGAAGTTAGTTCACACTTCACAGTCAGTAAGATGAGCCTGAAATAAACATTGCTATGTGTGCTCCATGTTTTGTATCTCTACTCCTAATGGACAAGTTGGTGAATCGTCTTCGCGGTTTATTTTCATTGGGTTTTTTTCGTCTCTCCTCCCACCACCCCTGTCACCCTGGTCCGCGGTTTATTTTCGCGGGTTTTTTTCCGTCTCTCCTCCCACCACCCCCTCCCACCCTGATCCATTGGTTTATTTTTCTCTCCACTCTTTATTACAAGTAGAACTTTCCTAACGTATAACAAATCACGGATCTAACTTCCTTAAATTATGCAAATCAATCGATTCCTTTTATTGGTTCAATTTGTCTTAGGAAACAAATAACAGATTTTTAGAAAACAAATAATACATTTTAATCTAACTTCCTTAAATTATGCAAATCAATTGATTCCTTTTATTAGTTAAATTTGTCTTAGGAAACAAATAACAGATTTTCAGGAAACAAATAGTACATTTTAATCTAACTTTCCTAACTTATCTAAATCAATCGATTTCTCTTATTAGTGAAATTTGTTTTAGGAAACAAATAACAGACACGTCACAACTTTCCTCCCAGTAAATAGTTTCTTAATATTTGCAAACTTTCCTAATCAGACACGTCACAAACGGGTAGGTACTGATATCACGTTACCAAACAATAAAACCCCATTTGCATAGAAATCAGTTCAAAAATCCTAACTTTCCTAAATTTTTACCTTTTCTTGATAACAACCAATATTTCCTATGTTTTCCACCTATTGAAAGAAATCACCCCTCCATCGATATAAGCATTTTTTTTTGAACTGAGATCTCCGGGTTATGATTTTTTTCGCTGGTTTCTTTCGTCTCTCCTCTCACCTCCCCCTCCCACCCTGGTCCATCGGTTTATTTTTCTCTCCACTCTTTATTACAACCAGAACTTTCCTAACGTATAACAAATCACAGATCTAACATCCTTAAATTATGCAAATCAATCGATTCCTTTTACTGGTTCAATTTGTCTTAGGAAACAAATAACAGATTTTTAGGAAACAAATAATACATTTTAATCTAACTTCCTTAAATTATGCAAATCAATCGACTCCTTTTATTGGTTCAATTTGTCTTAGGAAACAAACAACAGATTTTCAGGAAACAAATAATACATTTTAATCTAACTTTACTAACTTATCTAAATCAATCGATTTCTGTTATTAGTGAAATTTGTTTTAGGAAACAAATAACAGACACGTCACAACTTTCCTCCCAATAAATAGTTTCTAAACATTTGAAAACTTTCCTAATCAGACACGTCACAAACGGGCAGGTATTGATATCACGTTACCAAACAATAAAACCCCATTTGCATAGAAATCAGTTCAAAAATTCTAACTTTCCTAAATTTTTACCTTTCCTTGATAATAACCAATATTTCCTATGTTTTCCACCTATTGAAAGAAATTACCCGTCCATCAATATTAGCATTTTTTTGAACTGAGATCTCCGGGATATGATTTTTTTTTTGCGATTCTTTCCAATTGTGATCTCTCTTTCTACTCCGGCTCCTTCTCGCATAAACACCATCACCACAGCCAGGTGACACCGCCCCAGACCTCCTGCCTCTCCACACCTTCTCCACCACCTCCTTCTCGTACTGCATTAACAATCCCTCCGACACATTTGTCCACGGCGGTGTCGAGGGCATGGCGTAGTAGCGTATCAGCGGTAGAGCAGCGCATAGCAACAGGAAGCAACACGCAGCATGCGAGGCAAGCGGCCGACGGTGGAGGGCAGAGATGCGGCTGGCGTGGCTGAGGGGGCGACCGGTAGAAGATGGCCACGATTGGAGGCGGCGCGAGGCAGGGGCACAACAGCGGGGCGAGCGAAGGATAGGCGGCAGCAGACGGGGCGAGCGCAGCCAGCGTGAGTGTGGCGCGCGGCCAGGGTGTGTGTCGCGCGGGGGAACAATGGTGCGGTGGCTTCGGCGAGCGCGACGGTAGCGGCTGGCGCGATCGACGGGGTATAGCACGGGCGTGGGCATGGAGAGGGAGTGGCCCCGCGGGCGCGAAAGAAGAGCGGCAGGCTCGGGCATGGGCGTGCATAGGACCGGGCATGTGCCACGGGGTCACTCCGAGGAGCTCGGTGGCTACCCCTGCAATGGCCATGGCGGATGGCGGTTCTCGGCCACGGTGAAATACCTAACGAGAGCAAACGAGAGGGGAAACAGGGGAAAGGCAAGAGGAGATCATGGCGGTGTCAATGGCGCCCTAGGGAAAGACATGGGAGCTCGGGGCGGCGCGGATCGAACGACAATGTCGTGGTGGCCCAAGGTTGAGGAAGACGGCAGCGACGTCGATGCGGGGGTGCTGGACTTGATCTCGTTGGTGCAGACGAAGTAGCGAAGGCGCTCGGAGCTGTTCGATAAGCTCCTAGCCCGCAGGGAGGGCAGTGGCCATGTGGACGGGGTCGGTCATGGTGGCCGTGGCGTCTGACTTCATCTAGATCGACGGGATCGAGCGAGCGAGGAGGAGAAGTGGATTTGGGAGGGGACGTCGAGGAGGAGTGAGGCCATGGGGGCAGGGAAGGAAGGGTGTCACCCTTATCCATTCCCCTTTGATGCCAGCGAGGTGGTCGGGCGGGAGCCCGACTCTGTAGCGACGCGGCTCGGGGAATAGGAGAAGACGACCGCGCGGGGACTGGACTACTGAGCCGGTTCGGTGGCAAGGCCCGTGGGGCAGGGCGAATCCCCTTGTACATCGTCCTTTTGGTTCTTCAATGTATTCTAATCCGTTTCTCCTTTTTAACACCGTTTTCTATTTATTCTTATCAACTAAATGATCTCTACTCCTAATGTCTCAGTTGGTAGTCTCCGTTCCTGGTTTATTTTCGCCCCACCTCCCGACTGAGGGAGAGGGGAAGCGAGAGTGAGGAAGAGGGAGGGAGAGGGTGTGTGTGTGAGAATTTGATGGTAAAAAAGGTCGTCAATGTCACTTAATATATATGAGAATATTAAATGTAATATTAACATAATTGATATTGAACTTTTAAAGTTAATATGGCCCCGTTGCAATGCACGGGCGTTCTTCTAGTAACTATAATTGTGAAGTGAGTTGGTTCACTTAACAGGCAAGATTTTCCCGGTGATGAACAGGCTATGTTTCGTTTCTCTTTTATATTTGTTTGCACTAGCTGCGGTTATTAGGCCTGTGTTGTATGTATATAAGGTAGCTCTAGCTGCTGGAGTGAACTGCATGCCCGCTGATGTGATGATGGTGGATTTCATTTGTATCATTCCATCAGCATACATATTTCACTGTCCTCCATTCAGGAACAAGGAAAGAAGCTTCAGTGGTACTGATTCAGACGTACTCCATCCACATTGACTTGTAACCGTCCATGATCAAATTAATTCTGGTAGGTTGTAAGTCTTATCTGCATATGTTTTGTGCACACATTGGAATTGGTCAAACTAAGGCAGCTGTTGCTTTTAATTTCTCTGATTTTCATTGCAAGGAAGGAAACCCATGAACTCTAGGTTTCAGGTTGTGAAACCCATGACCTAGAATAGTTATTTTTGGAAGGAGTTAAAAAACACTAAGAAACAGAGCCCATCATAAAGAAGACTGTTGGGGAACCAATGTTCTGTGCTCAACACCAAAATTTCTGGATTCACTCATGTGATAAATACTCACTTTCAACTACTCCCTCCGTTTCAGTTTACAAGTCCTATGCATATACCTAGGTTGCCAATTTTATCACCCTAATATAAACTATTTAACACAAAAATTATACCTTTTGAAAATAGAACATCTGAAGTTTATATTGGTACATTTTTGTAATATATGACTTGTATTAGGTTGGTCAAATTGACAACTTAGGGGTACACGCACGAGAGAGAGGGAGTATGTTTTATTTCACTTTCAACCATATAGGGCATATCTTCTTCAGTGAGTATTTTTTGAGAGACAGTGGATTCAGTTACCACTGATCTGAGCAGAGCAGACTTCAGAGGAAAGAAGCAGCTCAGCAAACTACTAAACGACCGGATGGGCCGAATTTTTCGAAACAGACATTTGCCCCATTATTATTAATATTGCAACCATCAATACATCTGTGAGACTATTGCTCGCGCAAACAGCACAAGCAAGACTAAAAGAAAAAAACAAGAGAATAAAATGCCAGCATCGCCAGATCGACGTAAGCAACGATTTCCCTCAACCGCTGCGCCCTCTGGAGGATTCCCACCATGCTCCTATGCCCCCGAGTTGTTGTGTATCAAGAAACACCT